ATTTTGACTTTTTCAGTTGAGTGAAGCAATCACGTGGTTCAATGTGGCCAACATGGGTATTTACGGCGGAGGCCATTGTCATAGTAACAACGAATACCATCACCATATTGACATTCACAAGAACTCCTCGTCTGCGCATGCGTAAATACTCGTTGATAGTCAACCTGGCCGTGGCGGATCTCTTTGTAGGACTGATAGCCGTGCCTTTACAAATTATCTACCTATTTACTCAAAACGCGGTGGATGCTCGTGTGGTTTATAGAATCAGTTTGCTATTGGATCCTTTCTTAGGAATTGCGTCTTTATTWGGCTTAGCTGCCATAGCCATTGAACGTACATACGCCACGTATTATCCATTCAAACACCGTACGATGAGCAAGACTCCATACACCATTGGGATCGCTGTGGTATGGTTGACAGCAATGCTATTTGCGTCAACAATCGCCTTCTTTTTTAGAGGCGGAACCCTTAAAAATATGATTATTGTATTTACAGGCATAACAATCCCATTGTTTATCATAATATGTGCATATTTCCTTATTTGGGTAAAATTTACATGCATYAGAAATGTCTTAGGTCACGTAATCCATCAGAGAAATAGGAAATTATCTGTCACGCTTGCTATTGTTACCATTGTAAGCTTAATTGCGTGGATTCCTTTCATGGCTTTTCGAATGCATGTCAGGTTTTGTTATAAGTGTCGAGCTGATGTTACAGCTGTGCTGCACATTTGTAAAGTGCTTCACTATGGCAACTCCTTTGTAAACTTTATAATTTACACGCTGCGACATCCAGAATTCCGGGCTGGAATGGCTCAGATGTTGCGGAGGCTGAATTGTCACTGTCCAGACACGGAAAACGTGGTACAAAGAAACAYCATTGAATTAGAAAATCGCGCAGTTGGCCATATTAACGAAATTCACGTCAACGACAGAGAGGATAACATGTAGTAGATATCATACACCGCTAACATTTCTGTATAGTTTAAAACACGAAAGAGAGTGTTTTATCAGGTATAAAGAGATCTCGAGTGTTTTAAAGGGCTTCAACTCCAACACTAATTTGAAACTCAAATCCGTTAAAGTTTTTGGAGAAATTGACGTACAAATATGTTCTGAGATAAATAACGCAAACTGATCATGCGCGAATCACTTAACAAAGCACTCTTGTCATCCCACATTGAATACGCATGAAGTAAAATAGAAGCGCTCTTGGCTGTTCACTACAATCGGTTGACATTAGTTCTGCATTGGTCAATGATCAGGTTTCAAACCTGAGACCAGTTTGCTAGGGTCGTGGACCTTTATATCTGATAAATTTCACCCTTATTATATAAAGAATACTAATAAGGAGTGTTTTATCAGATATAAAGGTCCATGCATGTGACCAAATAGGCTCATTCTATTGGCCTAATAACTCATTAATTATGTATGCGTTTTTGAAGATTATGATAACATCGTATAATAATTATATCCTATACAATACTTTGAACTACTTTACTCTGATATTGGCTAAAAAATTATCGACTAAAAAATTATTTTATAGTATAAATGATATTGCAGATAAAGTCATCAATTAATTGAGATGTAAAGTAGAATAGGAAATTGAAATTCTTTAAAAGAACATTGATTTGTGTGACTTTTTTCTCTTTGTGCTGAATTTTTTTGCTGATATTTTGATTTTAATTTCCTACCAAAGACTTTCAGTTTGAAAATGAGAAATTGCTGATAGCTATGTAGATTGGAATTGCTTATGCATCCCTTGTTTCCAGACAACTACAATCAGGAATATCTCTGATTTATCCAGCAAGTGCGCGCATCTTACACGACGAAACCAAATCCACGAGTAACCTTTGATTATCATGTGACGGGCTTGCTGTTTCGTAAGGTCATGTGACAGACAGAGAAACCATAATAAGCCTTGGGCATGTCATGGATTCATCAACAAATTCCAAAATCAACTTTTTCATGGAATTTATATYAAATCCTTTGTTGTTTTAAGCTAGTTTTACTATCCTAAACTATGCTACCAGGAAGACAATTAATTGTAAACGAATACAGTGGCTTTTCGAGGCGACGGAACTCGAGAAGAGGCCGGAGACCAAAACCAGAGTACGAAAGAAATATCGTTTCCGCATTTTTTGCTCTAACGTCGGCCGTATTGGTAGCTATTGCCGAAGCAGAACCAAAATGGGTGAAGATTGATGGCGGAAGATGCGATGGAGACTATTTAGGCTTATATAAAGTCATTGCTTACAAGTCATGGCGGAGTTTAGGTGAGGAAATGATCTATCTGCATATGTTTTTTTATAAATTTTGCTAACATGCTGTAAGCTGATACTTTATTTTGGGGTCGACGTTCGTATGTCATCGATCTGTAGTGAAACCAGTTTTAAAACTCAATTTACGTACATGAAATAATCGGATGAAAGTTAATATCTTTTGGATATCAATTTTTCATGGAGATTGTTTCAATATCTAACTTAAGATCTAACTTTATAGTTAAGTTAATGAACTGGACCTTCCAGAAATATCATCTTGTGCATCTCTATTAAGTTAAATTCGAGCATTTGTACTTCATTGTTACTTTGTACTTCATGTGTAAAAGTTGTACATTGTTATTTATTAGTAAAGGTTGATGAAAAAATCAGCTGACAAAGTTTATATGTAAAGAGTCTAGTTTTCCGTTTATTTTAAWCGACTATAAGTCTTAAATGGGGATTACTCGCACGATTGGCATATAATATATTTTCATTTGAAATTTGAGCAAATAAAATCCAAACTGGACGTGCAGTTTAACATCCTTATCGAGACCATTTTGCAGGTATAAAAAAGGCAACAACACCACTTCAATTATTGGATGGTGGCTTGGCTAATACTTTTGAAGCCCTTTCCTGTAAAAAAATGATGGAACTCTAAAAAACAAACTAACCTGAGCCTTGTTTTTTTTTTCAGAGGAGTTCTGCTATACGCAGACAATGGTGACAATTCTAAGAATCACTGTTGCAATTTGCTGTATAAGTATTGTTGCGAGTATGTTTGCATGTCTTTTGGATCTGTGTGGAACACTGAATAAAACTTTGAAGTGCATCAAGGACAACTCTGTCGCCAATATCTTAACAGGTATCAATTTAATACATATATCTGTCTTCCTGGAATACCAGGTTGAAATCCAGACTGGTCATCCTGGAAAAAATAAGAGCCAGACACTGTCTGGTCAATTTCAGCTATCAGGTCAAATCTTTGTGTGAATGGACATTCTAAGCTAAAAGTGCTAGAGTGTTTTTATGTTGTTACTTTTTCTCATGGCAGGTACATTATTTCACACAATTGTTTTATGTTTCAGTAATGTTTTGTGTGGCTACAAATGGTCTCGTTTTCTGGGTAACACGTGAATTAGAGAAAAGTAAAATTGCTCAAAATCCAGGTCAACATGAAAAAATTACTGTCACATATGAGGTAAGTTTCTACTTGGTAGCAGCAGCAGGTGCTTCGTCTGTGCTGGCCACTGCATTTGGTGTACTGTACTGCCAGCGAAGACACAGACAGAACAATATGACAGATGATGAATTGTCTATGGWACTTATGTATGCAATGCATAATGCAGAGTCACTATCTGATATTCCACCTCCAGCTTATTCACCTTGAATGACCAATACTTTGTTAGATACAGACTGGAAATGGTTTTTCTGTAGAGAATAACCATTGAATAGAATTCAAGAAGAATATGTAATCTATGGTGATTGACTTAGTACAAATGTAAAGTGTATCAAGAGAGTAAAGTAAATCGAAAAGACTCTTACAACGCAATGACTTACGGCTCAAAACRCAAAAGTTTGGTTAATGATAATCAGGATTTGTCATAAAATAGCTAAAATGAAGTCTGTTTGTACTTGCAAAGACTCTGACTGTTGGGGAAGAATTCTCGTACATTATCAGTGATCAGACTTTTGGGCTTTGCAGTGTAAGATGACGTGCTACTCTGTTAAAAACAATGCATTCAGACACTACTAAAAAATCCAAATTATATGCCAATTCACAAAGTATTTCAGAGTTTTACAAAGAAATCAAAAGAAAAAGCCTTATATTAAGTGTAACAGTGTACATAAATGTAAGATATAATATAGAAAGGAAAGACACCAAAGCACTATTCAACAATCATTATTGATATGTCTTTCAACACATTTACTGCAGGTTCAATAATCATTTGTACATGTCTTGGAAAAAGGCTGTCAATCACAAAAGCATCTACAAAAATACCCCCCTCCCCCCCCAAAAAAAAACACTAACAACAACTACAACAACAACAACAAACAAATTTCATGTGTGAAAAAGCCTGTAACTARCAAGCACTGAATTTCCTGATAAACTCTGATTATTTGATTTTAATAATAGTTTTATATGCCATATGACGTGATGTTTTTCAATGTTATTGCAAAAAATGTTTGTTTGTCTTTAATTATTGTACTTAAAAATTGAATTTGCACTGTATTAACCATCACAAAGAAGKTTACCATTCTTTATCAGTTTGTGTTCATTTGTATAATCAAATCAATCCAAAAACTAGCTGTTATATAATACTCCATTTTCAAAWTCAAAGAGAATAAGACCTAAGGTATGAGCCTTCTGGGAATACAGGGTTAGCCTTAACCRGGGATTGTTASCACTTTTGTACTAACAACYTTTTCCCGTGCTTTCTATTGTGTRTGGTCAGGTCTTTGCACAAGAGAATCGTTTGTCATATAAAACAGCAGTTTTTTGCTTTGAATTCGAAACTGGAGTATTTCAATTATGTAAATATGGATTAGAACAGAAATASTCAAAGTCAAGGACATGATGCCATTTTCAAAGTTTATACTTGAATTTGTTATTGCAACTCATTGTTTACTGCAGACCTGGCAGTCTATGTGTAGACATTTCTGCTGCAAATMATCTGTTCTTAAAGAAGAAAATGTGGAGTTGAAACTAATTAAAGATCAATTGATATTTGGAATAGTATTCAGTCAAAATATTGAATTCAGAATAGTCTGGAAAATGTACTTTAACTGATAATTTTATGCCTTGAATTCTATTATTTCTTGAAAACATCCAAATTATACAGTTAGACTGTGACTTGCTAATAATTCCCCATTGGATCCCATATTTCTTTGTAGAAAAAAATGGAGTCTTATAAAGCAATTCCAAAAATAGTTTCAACTCTATATATTCACTTTCCAATGCATGACCATAGGGGAATAGGTATAGCTTTAGCTGTTAAGAACAAAATAATGTCATTCCCATAACTAGATAACTCTGTAAATGAATCCAGTGGTAACTAAATATATTATATTTTTGTATTAAATACACCAATAAAAATATTACTTTTAAAAACATGTTTTTTATTAAAATATAAACATAAATTACATCTTTTATCTAAAATTCTGAAATTACACACTAGTCATTATAAAACATGAAATGGGCCACTATGTCAAGTGAGAGCCAAACTGCGCTCTAATCATCACCAAGGCAACAGGGAATATTGCATTAACAGATCTATGTCCAGTGGATGTCTTAATAATAAAGTCCCTAATAAATAAGGGTGGGGGTCCTTGTCGTCCCTTTTAGAGTTTGAAATCAGTTTTGGTCCCGCTTAGGGTGATAATGATTATAATTACCACCAACTGAGTTTTGTGGTCCCAGTTTTAAAGTATACAACGGCCCTAACGATTTGTATATGACACAACATCGTCATAAACTCAATAAGAGCCGACGGCGTTTGATGCTTGTGCAAAAACACAAATAAACCTGTTATAAACCAAATAAACCAAAACAAAATGACCTGTTATTGATTGGTCCCTCTTAGGGGTGAGATTTCAGCACTGCCACGCCCATCCTCTCACAATACAGGTCCCTTTTAGGGGTCATTTTCAGAATTTCCGACGAGGATCCCCGGCTTTTTTTTATTAGGGAGTACCCCCGGGGGTCTTATCGAGCTTGACGGCTCGTCGTTTCACTGCTAGTAGGTTTACTCGCGAATTTTCAACCCATTTTATAATTTTATACCAAATCCAGGACTGCGAATGCTGAATAACATGKAAAGACGTTATAAATTGCCCGTATTGAAGAKTTATCACCCAAATTTTGCAATGTCTTGCTATGTAATCTTGGTGATTTTTCGCAAACTTTATCGGCAAAGATCGGAATGAAATTGATGTGACGAGTCTGTGACGATATATRACGGAAGTCGACCGAGGCTTGTCAAGTAACCCCTGGTTATTTTTTGAACATCCGGTCATGACAGTGAAAACGCGCAATTTTTTCTGTTGTCAATCATAGGCGGGACATCCTGTCAAAAAYAAATTGATTTCCTACAGCTCAGCCAGTCATTGGCTGTAAAGAATCGGTTAATTTCATGGTATTTCAGGATTGGCTGTKACCATGGAAATGCACGTGGGAATTGCACTAGCAAGGCTTAGCATGGCTTACCGCTTTGCATTCCTCACTTGGCGCCAAGACGCAGAGGAAGAAGGGTGACTCTCGGTAAGACTTTGCCGTCGTTTTTAAAAAATATGAACAAAATCATTCAGTTTTCTTCTTGATACTTTACAGGACAAGGATTATTACCAACCTTTACTCKAAATAGAAGAATAGAGAAGATTTCGACTCCAATTCAGCAGAAAAAATGACGGTTTGSCTTCAACTTCAGTCACATGGCGGGCATTCAAAGCCGCTCCTAAWACTCGAAAAAAGARAGGTAAAAACCATAGTTTGAATCCTTTTTTATTACTTTAATTCATTATTTACCAATCTCATGCTATTATGTTGAAGGAAAATCGAATTTCGTAACTTTTTATCTGCAAAAATGTTGCGAGTTTATGTTGAAGAACAAAGTTCCCGCTGTTCAAAGCCCAGTTTTAAATGAACTCATGCTCCTTCTTTATGTCCACAGGAGTAAATTTTTAGCTGTTCTGAACTGGAAATAACTAAAGAATTCCAGAAAAAAGCGTTGTGGAAAAGCATTCTTTGGAAACTCATTCACAAAGACAAGGTACGCATTGCCGCCGGCAACTTTGCCGTCAAACAAATTCTGAATTCTGAATAGTTTTTGAATTAACCTTGTGATTTCTTTGCTATCAAAACGTTCAAAAGTACAATATTTGATCAATTTACAAACACTTTTAAATTACGAAATAATTTTTAGTACATTCTTCATTTGCGCGGCATTTTTGGCGCCAAACTTTTTGCATTCCGTTCTTAGTAAAATTTTGCTCTGGGGGGAGGGGGAGGGCCAGAAGAAGTCGTAGTTTCTTTTTGTCTTTTTTTTTCAAATTAGATTTAACTTTTCATTTATTGGACATTCATTTCTTTAACTTTTTATTTGTGTTTGCCGTATTTGTGATTATTTTTTCTTTTTACTGAAATACATTTTCTTTTTCTTTTCTTCACTTTTGAGGCTTTAACATTCAATCATTTTAATCCCATGTATTCAGTTAATTTTGGTCTGTTAAGTTACTCACAATATATTGTCAGGGAGAATTTCTTAGGTACAAGGCATGAGGAATATAGGTAACAAGATTATAAAACTTGATATGGGTGGAGTCGACACGCATTTTCACTGATCACCCAACCCAGTCAAGGGTTTTGAAGTTTAAGGACCTTCTAAATGTAAAAAAAAAATTGTTTTTAAAAACTTTTTCAATTATTGCATGATATAGATGTGAAGCAATGAATCGTTTTGGTAATAGTACATATCTCCGACATTTTTATGCTATCGACCCTCTATGAGAAATTTCATTTTGGCTCTATCTGTCTCTGGTATTTGCTGCAAAGGGTATAAATATCATTGTTTGTGATGTCATGAATTCATTTTAGTTTATTTCTCTAGGTCAAGACCACACAAAAACCAAGATTTACTCAACAACTCCAGAACAGATGAAGACAACGAGCATGTGTTTGGGCAACACATGCAAGGTTGTGACATTTTTCTGGGCTCTCTCCCCTAGACGTTCAAACTTTTCGACTGGCTTTTTTCTTTAAAGCTTTGCATTTTGAGTAACAAATGACTTGTTTCAAGTTTAAGCATCTACCAGAACTTTCGTCACCATTTGTTGGAACTGAGGAACTCTCTGAGGTATCCCAGAAGAGTTCCTCTTTTCTGTAAATGGTGGATCAAAACGTTTTTTGTTTGGTCCAGTTTGGGGTTCAGTTTTTGGAAATATTCTGCCTTCAGTGGTATGTTTATTTTCCAGGTTATGCAGGGTACTTTTCCTGCCAATTTTGTTCTGGTAGATGTTCTGTCTTCTCCATTTTTGAGGCTGTTGGCACTTGACTCTGGCTCTGTTGATCATGTATCATTATTCCAGGGGGTGGCCTTGTATGRGAGTACTCTTGCATTGGCCGGTATGTTTGAACCTAGTGTGCAACACGCAGTTGAACCTGGGGTACTTTGTATGGTGGGGCGGCAAGCCTTAAGCCATACACTGGACCTCCTCATTAATGGACAATACAGTTGGGCAAATTATCACTTATTAAGGATAGGAACTCCCCATTGACGAGCTGATATGTGCATTTATTCAGCTATTTATTCATTGATTGCTGTTCATTGAATGAGTTATGTTATGTTATGTTATGCATTCATATTTTTTTGCATCTTAATCCGGCTAAGTTTTTTTGAATCCCTGTATTAGCAAGGTAAGTTGCTTTTACAGGGATTCTTTGTCTCAGCGTTGCGTTAGGTAATTTAGCTTTTCGAACTTTCCTAGGATAAGTTAGGGCGAAATACTCTTGCACAGATTCTCTTTTTCTTTTGAACATTTTACTTTTTGGGTCTTCAACCGTATGGTTTGGTTTTCAACTTTTATGGTCAACCTTGTTGGATTTCTTTGAATATTTTCGAGTATTTTCCACTTCAAGTACTTTGGTTAATTTCAAGTATTTTTGGATTTCAATAATCGAGGCACTGATCTTTGGCTTTAACAAGATGTTCCTAACCAGGTATCCGTGGCATCYGCATGGAATGGAAACTGCAATTTGGATTAACTGGAACTTGGAATTTGTAAAAGCAAATAATGTTATAAATAAAATACAAAATAAACACTGTGCGTGTTGATAACTAAATTTCAAATTCAACAGCATTTTTACAAATACYAAGACCTCTGAAGATATTCCTGGCATTTATTCCTGGCACTTTTCCCTGGCATTTTTCCTGGCATTTTATTATTGTTACTAAACCTCTTGGCTTCTGGTCATGGAATTATAGATTGTGATCTGATTTTCCTAATGCAGGAATTTTTTTCYGATACTATGTAATTATTGCTTCAGAATCAATAAAGCCAATTGTGGCAATTAGTTATAACGACTGACTATTAATAATCTCAATAAGTCTACAGTGTAAAACAACATTGTACATAGATATATTCTGTAAGTCAGACTGCTGTATAGATAAAACATTCCCTTATTATTTGTAAATAATGATCATTTGCTCGGCATGCCTTAGGATTACTGTAAGTATTGGTAAGTAATGTGGATGGAGAAAAGGCATATTTTTCAAAAAATGATGACAAATGATTGTTTACAGTCGTGGACGTTTRATCACTTGCTGTTGAATAACATGCTTGAAGAGTTGATTCAAACTTTAAAACGTTTATAGAAATTTGATATTCAACTGATTGTTTACAGAGAGAATTGATTGGCATTAAAAAGGAAATTTGTCATTTTTAATTTGGAAATTGTATTGAAAATTAATATATTTTTGACAATGTTTTGAATATGGATTGAGGAAACAAAAATCTGATTAAGAGAGCAGAGCATTTGCTACTTAATTTTTGTATTATTCAGTTTTATTAGATATAGAGACTGTGTTTTATCGCTCTGCAAGACTTAAAAGAACACATTTAAACCTGGTTTGTCATTCAAATAAAGAGGAAGATTYACACTTTTTGATGCTGTGTTTTGAAGATATTACAAGCACAATCAAGTGCCTATGCGACAACAAGGAGTAGTACCAGTACAGTTTCTACAGCCACACCTATAGTACCTACAGCAATTCCTAGTTATACCAGAATTGAGTTAACCCATGAGAAGTTAAGATGGTCGTATCGAAATGGTTAAACAAGTCAACATCAACATAGTCCCCAGTCAAGCAATGCTCATTGGAACACATGGAGGCATTAGCCAGCACTAACATTGACATTGAACAGACATCCATGCCAGAGGAGAGCACCACCACAACACTAAATGCCCTGGCTGACCTAAGAGAAGAATAATCAATCACCTAGTCCAGCAACCTTCAGGTCTTCCAGTCTGGTGCAAAATAGATACTGGTAGTTGAGATTGGGCAGTGGCRAGGCCAGATGACTTGGACCAATGGTCTAGAATGGAGAAATGAGGCACCTCCTTCCCTCCACTAGCCTTGGGTCTTTAAGGTATGGAGAACATAACATGAACCAGTTATTGAGTTGGAGTTAGTATTATAGTTGTAGTAAGCCAAATACAGAGGAATTAACACATGCCTGAACCAGAAAACACACCAAAAGTGTACTTTTACAGGGGCCTCAATACAACAATCCTATGGTTAAGATGAAAAKGATCTTGCTCTGTTGCTGATAATATAGAAGTAGCCTCTAGTCTTGTGACACAGCCTACTAATAAATTAGCAGATGAAAAGTAGAAGAGCTCATAACAAATTGTATTAATCATGAAAACACCTCAGAAAATGGCACAAACCTGAGAAAATGTTTAATGTACCAGCCTAAGAACAACCTTATAATATCACCTGAAATTACAGCAGAAGGGTGACCAGCAGCAGATACATTACACTATGGATGAATGTATTTCAAACAGAAAGAAACCATTCACAGGACAAGACCAACCAATCGAATATGATTTCATACCATTTGCATGGAGCAGAAAAGGACACAAGATGATTGACACAGCATAAGAGGATTGATAAAGACCACAGGATAGCGGTGGATAAAAGCAAATCAAACAATTATCTCTTTTACTTTCATCTTTTTCTCAAATTCTTTACTCGCTACTCACAATATTTAGGCAAATATTTGATGCCTGTTTATACTTGATGTGATGATGATGAAAATCAGTTTTTGGGAAAATGGAAGTTTGTTTTTGAAAGTCAGACTCGTAATAACTTGCATTAYCGGCAAGTACTCAAAGTGGTCTGTGAATCACATACGATGTCTTTTGGATGGAGTTTTACATTATTACTTGTCACTTATTCAGTGATAGTCATTAYGCTTCCAGAATTTGTCTTTTATCTAAGCAAAGCTTAAAGGCATTTCACCAGTRAAACTTTAAAAGTGTGAAGAGTGGAGAGAAATACTAAACAATCTCAAACCTATAAAATWATTAAAYAWAAAATAATTAAGTTTAATAGCCCCCTTAGCTACAAATCTAAATAAAAATAAAAATATAACTATAATTAACTAAATGAGATGTCTTTAAGCTTTGCTTATTTCAAAGGTAAAATTGGTAAGCAATGGACTTATAATGCTGGCATTTTAACATGCCTTTGAAAACTATGCTTTGTCTGTACCAACTACGGCAATCTTGAAAAAACCAATGCTAACAAGTTAACTGGCTTAAGCATTGATGGAATGGTATTTCTTAACACCCTGGATTGGCAAAATATGGAAGGGGTCCAGGAAGACACTTTGCAACAGAATGAAATGGTGACGTCACCTATTAGCAACATGGCAATAAAACGACTGACTGGAATAGCATGATAAGTATGACATCCTGGCTAAGTTCTGTCCACATGCAGGTGTATAGAATTAGAAAAAACTGTCTGGAATAACATCGTAAGGATGACATCCTGGTAAACAAATGTTTATCAATAAATCGCTCAATATTAGAGTCAATGACCTGCACATTTTCAGAAATGCAAAGTAAAATAGAATATACAGGTATAGGACGACCACCTCTGGTATCAAATGGTCAAGCACAAGAACCTCTGGCAATGGCAAAATGGTAGTACTATTGGCTCCTGATCTCGAGTTTTGACAAAAACACTCCTGTTATTCCTATCTCAAGATAGCATCTGTCTACTTTTCATTAGAGGGGGGTATGGGATGGCTAGAAGGGGAGTTGGGAGACCATCTTCTTACACCGACAATTGCTGGAACATAACTGGATTTCTACTTCTGGATAGAATGGCAATATAAGGATGGCATCTTATTGTTGTGTTGACATGGTTCACAAAGACGCTCTGCAATAGAATGACATGGAGTACATCTTGAAGCAATGTTGATATGGCAAGACATCTATGGGGGCAAGACAATGTAGTATAATAATGGCACTTGGTGGAAGCCCTGACAGCAAGAAACCCCTTGGCAATGGACATCCTGGTATAGTTCTGGTACAAGCCCTGACAGAAAGAATCCCTCTGGAAATGGACATCCTGGCTTAGTTCTGTCCACATATACAAGTGTATTGAATTTTACTCTGTGTCTCTGGGAAGGTTTGGGCCATTTACTTTAGTGGCGAACGTCTGATGAACAAATGTTTATCAATAAATCGCTCAATATTAGAGTCAATGACCTGAAAATTTGCAGAAA